AGACCAAATGCCATAGCAAAATTGCTTAAAATCCTGAAAAGCTCCAGAGCGTTAGGAATAGTGGCCAAACCAAACACCAGCACATCATTAGCATAAAGAAGATGGTTAAGAGAGCTCGGCCCAAGAGGGACACCCAAAAAAGAACCAGAGTCCCTAGAGCAGGAAAAAACGTCCATAATAATTGCAAATAATAACGAGGATAATGTGCAACCTTGCCTTAGGCCAGCAAAAGAAGTAAAAAAACCCTCAAGAGCTCCGTTAATGCAAACATAAAAAGGGACATCAAATATGCAATTTTTAATTCAGAAAATGAATTTTTCTAGAAAAGCCTTCTCTCTCATTCTGGAAATAAGGAAATACCAAGACAGTGAGTCAAAAGCTTTGCGAATATCCAATTTAGCACAAAAATATTTCTTTGAGGAAGGTCCATGCATTAAATTCATTTAAAATCTCATTGGCCAAAATAATATTGTCAAAAGAGAATCTCTTTGAGATGAAACTTGCTTGACTTTTGTGAATAATGTGAGGCATAACAACTTTTAGGCGATTAACAAGTATCTTTGTAATGATCTTGTAAAAGACATTACTAAAACACTACTGGAAAATGACCTATTACCGACGAATTTTCCGGTGGCATTTCGGCGGATTTTCTGGTGGATTTTCCGACGGATTACAATGAAATATTTCTGCCATATTTTTTTGCAGATTTTTCGGCGAATTTCCAACGGATTTGTTTCCGGCAAACTTTTAGATGAATTTTCAAGCTAATTTTAATAATTTCTAAAAAAATATTTTTTTTGAGATTTAATTAATAAATTTATAGCTCATTTTAATTAATTATTAATTTAATAATTTTTTAATTAATTATTAACTTAATATCTTATTTTAATTAATTATTAAAATAAGTTATTAAATTACTTATTAATTCAATATTGATTTAATAACTTATTTTAATTAATTATTAATTTAATGGATTATTTATTAATTTTGATATAAACACACACACACACACACATACATATTATTTATTTTAAAATATTTTACCGACAAAAACATTTTCGCCAGAAATCAGTTAGAAATCTATTAAATTTGCTAGAAAATGAATAATTTCTGCCGGAAAATCTGTCGGTAATACATGATTTTCATGTAGTGAGAGAAATAGATCGATAATCAGAAATGTTGGATGCATGCTGGTGTTTAGGGATGAGAGCAATCGCCATTGCTTTAGCACATCTAGGAAGGTGTACGACAGAGAGGAAATTTTTAATAGCATTAATCACATACAAGCCAATGATATCCCATGAGCCCTTGTAAAATTTGAACGTGATGTCATCGGGCCCAGGGGAAGAGGCCGAATTCCCCCCAAAAGCCACATCTCTTATTTCAAAGTCAGTGATAGGAGCCATCAAAGAGTCAATCAAATGCAAAGGGATGGGATCACCACAAATGAAATTGATCTTAATATTCCCACAAGGCTTAGGAGAATTATAAAGTTTCTTGAAGTACTTACAAATAGCATTAGCAATCTCCAGAGGAGAAAAGAAATGACCCTCATCCGTAGTGATCTCATTAATTCTTGAAGAATTTGCTCTAATTTTTATGCGGGCATATAAGAACCCCAAGTCATCTTCACCATTTTGAAGCCATTTAGTCTTAGCTCTTTGAATGATTTAAGAGCTCCAAGCACCGTGAAGTTGAGAGATGCAAGAATTAATCTCCTTAAGAGAAGCATTAAGTAACAGATCCTGGGAGTTGCATTATAAGAGATCCAACAAACAATCCTTCTGTCTTTGATTAAGATCCAAAAGCCTAGCCTTGTTAAAATGATCATTAGACCATTTCTTACTTTTAAGATTAGCTTTCAAAGCTATGAGTTACCATATAAATTAGCGAGAGGGCTCCCTTCATGATGTAAGGCAAAGGAAGACATAAGGACTTCCCAATACTCCATCATCTTCATCCAGAAATTTTTGAATTGAAATATTCTAGCCATAGAAGAAGAATGACCTCCATAAGAAGTAAAGGGGAATGGTCAGAACAACCAGGAGGAACTACCTTATAGTAGGAAAGATGGAAAGCATCAATCCATTTTTTATTTACCAACATCATATCAAGCTTTACATGAATGGGATCATCAACACGATCGATAAACCAAGTATACTTCAAACCGGTCGAATAAAGCTCAATGGCGCCTAAGCTAAACACCAACCCACTCAATTCCCCCAATCTACTAAAATGCATAGAAGCACCACTAGATTTGTCATTAGGATATCTGAAATAGTTAAAATTATCCATAATGATCCAAGGGATGGAGATAGAATCAGCCAAAACATTAAGCTACTGCCATAAAGGGGCTCTCTCAGCCTGATTATTAGCAGCATATACCACAAAAAGAAGGATAGGGGGTAAGGCTCCAAAATTGAGAGTATCATGAATCAGTTGTGAGTTGGAAAGGATATGTGAGAAAGAGGTAGTAGATGAATTCCACTTCAGCCAGATTCTCCCGCATGAAGAAAAGTTGAAGTTATTACAACTCTATTCATTCGGAAAAATTTTGTGAGTGTTAATGAACCAGGGGTCCAAAAGGGAATGGGATGAAATTTTAGCTTCCAAGATACATAGCATGTCAAGACGGTTAAAGGCACTCTAATTTTTAGAGGCTAGAACCTTTTCCGGTTTGTTAAAATCATGAATGTTCCAACAACCAATAGAAGGAAGAATTATTTGGATTTGGTGGAAGGTTGTTGTGCTTTCCTAACACCTTTGGCTTTGGTAGTTTTGATCGATCATAACCCCAAGTCATTCTCCATCTTTCTGAGATTGACCCATATCTAGATTATCTTCAGGTTTTGATCGATCAGTAGCTTGAAGACTGGAATCAAGCTGATCATCCATCAGCAAGATGGAGAATTTATTTGGGGATGCCATGACAGAGACATTTTGGCAGCTCCTCTCAAAAGAGGAAAGAAGTGCACTTTATGAAGAAGAGCCTTCACTAATAGCTGTAGTAGAGGAGGGTTTCGTGTTTGGAGAGTGCTCAGATGAAGAGATTTGATCCACAGGTGAATTTAGATTAGGGATGGAATCATCCAAATGAGCAACAGAGGGAGGATTCTCAATGGAGGGAGGATTGGACAGAGTTATTTGTGGAGGTTGGGGAATCAGAGGATCATCCTAGCTACAACGAGTTACATTGTGTAGCTATATAATTTGGTGAAGAAGAAGTAGCAGTGTTGATTGCAAGAGGTGGAGTCAAAGAAGGGGGAGGCAAATTAAAAGGTGTACTGTTGTTAGCAAGAATAACAGAGGAGGAAAGGAAGGCTGGAGTTTTCAGGGGAACCTGAGCGGAGGCAGAAAGTGCAAGAGCCTTCGGGTTAGGCTAAGAAGGACGAGCACGTCTAGTGCTCCTTCCTCTATTTTGAGTTTGTAATGGTGCTTTTGGATGGGGATTTTTATGGCAAAGATTGGAAGGGTGCATAAGAGAACCGTAACCAGTACACGGAGTAGGCTTCCAGTCATATATAACTTTAAGAGACACATCATCTCCATCCATAGAAATAAGGATTTCATCAGAGAAAGAAGAATCATTGTTCACCATCACACAAACACAAGCATATGTAAGGCAAGTTTTTCTAGCCGTGAGAGCTAGCATCCACCGCTAATGGTTTACCAACAAAACTTACAATTTTTGAAATACCCAAAGGGTTCCAAACAGCTAAAGGAAGATCAACAATCTTGATCCAAATGAGAATATAACTACATTCTTCTCTCATTGGTTTAAACTTTGGGGTCCATTTCTGAAGTATGAACGGTCTTCTGAAGAAGAACCCGGCCCTCCGGACCATGCGACTTCGAAATCTTCCGGCAAGGAAAATTTAAACAGAAAAATCCATCATTAAGAGATAGGAGTTCAACCGAACCTTTTATAGACCAAATTAACCTTTTTAATCGGGTTATGCAAGCTCAGGTAGGTAGGTCTGGGACCGATCGAGTATCCGAACAGCGAGAGGCAGCAATCCGGGACGCCTAGATCAAGATCCTCAGCGGAGAACGGAACATGAGGAAACAACGAAGTTGCTAGCCACGGGGTCGTGATTTGTAAGGTTGGAAATGAAGTTTAGGCTAGAAGGAGCGGAGACAGAGGGAGTCACTGAACCAGGGAGAGGAGGGAAATCATTGAGGTAGGAAGAAAAAGCCTTGGGAAGGAGTGGAGAAGGGAGGGGGGAACCCTCCCCTTGGCGGCGGGAGGAAGCAAAATTAGGATTTCACCAAAAAACCCCAGAAATCGCTCTCGCATTGACCTCCTCAAAATGTCTTTCACCTAAAGTACAAGTACTAATAATCCCCCTACTCTTGCTCGTTTCCATATACCCCTATCCATTTAATGGTAGGGTACATATTTGGTGAGTGTTCTTTGTTTTGATTGGTCATGGATACTATTGGATCTAGAACTATACTAGATCGAGAATAGTTACTTTTTTTTTTCTTGCTGTAAGTACAAAGCTTTCCAATACTAAAAAGAGTATAGTAAACGTGAAGTATTAATAGGCCATCATAGCATAAAAATGGTATAAGAGAAAATCAAATAAAATATCATGTTACAGATAATTATTTGGAAATATATGAGCTAACATTTTAAGGTTATAGATTTGGCTTAAGTAGTCAAGTTAATATTAAACAAACTCTACATAATGCAACATTTGCTTTAGTAAAAACACTATTAGTCAAGCTTCTTAATTATGATAATAAACTAGCCTTATCTTGTATTTATATGAAGACTTGACATTGTTGGTTTGAAAATGCTCAAATGAGCCTAATTGGCTGTCCCTCTCAGGCAAGATGGTAAGACCAGTACTGTCGTGTTTTTTAAGCCTCTTGTGAGGTTAATTAATCTCTATGCCACATAATACTCATTCACATTATAATGGTAAAAGATTGAGCGATAGATCAATATATGGTTCTAATCAAAATCTTTAATTCTCATTAGGAACCAAAGGAAATATTAAAATGTTTTAACCAAAGCCCCAAATTTCATTGATAATTACAAAGTTTGATCAATATAACAAAAAGCACATGAAGCTTACCACAGAAATAATTAAACACCTAGATCAAGGAAGAAAAGAGAATCAACAAAAAGTCCCCATTCATGCAAGAAGCCAAGAACACAAAGACTCCTCATCAAAACTACTATTGCCGCTAACATCATAGAACCAAGGCCACATTTCACTCCCATCTTCCTCCCACAACTTAGCCTCCAAGCTTTCCAAGTCCCATTTTAGCATTTTCTCCATCTCTGTCATCACAGTGCCTGACTCCTTCCCCTCCATAGCCAGCTCTACTTCCTTTTGAGCAGCACAAGGGCCGTCGTCACTTCTGCTCTCGATTATCTCATTTTCTTCTAAGCTCACTTCATCTTTATCACCATTAGGACCCAAAACCTCCTCAAAATCAAAGTCAAAGTCAAAAGTTGAGCTGCTGTTTTCTTTCTCCGTTAGAGCAGAGGAAGAAGAAGCAATGCAAAGGTTGTTGTCGGTGTTATTCATTATTTGGTTCGGGTCCTGATTAGTTTGATCTTTTCTAATGCTACCTGAAACCTTGAGGATTGAGTTCTTCATCATGGCGGCACGGCTGGTGCGTCCGCCGCGCCGCTTGCCGGGGGACGGAATTTTGCCGATATCATAGATGAAGGTCTCGCTATCGCCATGCCGCCGGAAACAGTGAATTCGCCTGCTTAGGTGGGAGTTCCAGTAGTTTTTAATCTCGTTGTCGGTTCGTCCAGGGAGCTGCGCGGCTATCACAGACCACCTGCAACAATTAAAATGTTTCATTTTATGAAAAATTAGGGTGATTTTCATTTTATATACCCCATAAATTTTATAAACTTACAGATCCACCGAGTATATTAGTAAACATAAAAATTTAAATGTTACACGTATAAATACATAAAAGTTATGAGGTTTACATGTAATTCTCTCAAGAAAATAATGAAATATATATATATTTTTAGATAACTCCATTTGTTTTTGAAAAGAAAATTTTGAATATGTAAATATTTTATTTTTTCAATTTTTTTGGAACGGTATATCAACCACTCTCGAAAGGACTCTTGGCAGCGTGACTAATCCTTGGCTGACTCAGAAGAGACACCCACCCCAGAAATCTCTTGGTCAACACTTGATTGGGCCCCACTCAAGAGACGCTGTCGCTCGAGGGAAATCGAGCACGGGTTGAGAGATTTTCAATTGTACTCGCCCACCAACCAAGCTAAGCAATAGTGAGTTATTTTTACAACTTGAATTAATCAGAGATAAATTTTATACGGATCGAATCAAATCAATCTTGCTCACTAAATGCAGCTGAAATCAAAATTAATTAATCAAATTTAGCTCAGTCCAAAAGTTGATCAAACAAATCTACAATCAATATTAATTTAGGTCGACATCAAATTTAATAACCTTGAGTCAGTTCTTGAGCTATGATCATATCGATTCGTGAATCATTCATAAATTATTAAATTTTCTAAGTTATTTTATTACATTGAATCTTTAACAATAAGAAAATCTGCATGTGATCTTCACATGTCCCTAAACTATACTTACATCGCATTTTGTTGATATTTAATTATTTACAACGAAAATAATAATTTATCTCATCCAGTAGCGTAACAGAACATTACAGGCTCACTGTATTCTTTCTCTCTCTACACCATTTAAATATTTATTTTTAAAATATTTCCATGTGCTCGCATGGCTGAGAACAGCAATTTCCTCGCATTTTATTCATATTTATAATAAAAATAAAATCTCTCTCTCTCTCTCCCAGTGCAGTTCTTTATTAAAGATGACTATTTATTTATTTTTTTTAACATTTATTGTCAGCATAATTACAAATACAATAAATTGCGCCAAAATTATTAACAAATTATTAGAACTTTATAAATAAATCTTTTAAAATTTTCACATAGAACATGTGAACGTAAGGAAGGGTTCATATGAAAAAGCTGAAGGTAGTAACTCAGCTTGATCTATTTGTTGAGAATTATGATTTAAAATTAAGAGATTTTAAATTTGAATCTAATATATAATATATATAAATTTATCTTAATTAATTTAAATATTCAAAAAAAAAAAAAATCAGAAGCATTTAAGAATCGTTCATCAGTCTTCGTCAAGTGACATTCATGTGAAAAGGACAAAAACTAATAAAAAAATTTATTGCAAACAATTTTATTAATTATTTTTCCTTCGAAATTCTATATTAATTTTTTTATAATAAATTTATTAATATATATTACGTGTCATAACTTTAAATAAATGAATAAAATGATTATGTTCCTGATTATTCGCGCAATATAAACCACATATTTTCGTTCAGCTTTTTACATTCTTTAAAAAGAAAGTAGCTTTTTTTAAAGCTAGCAGCTCAGTTTTTAAAGCTATTATGAAGAAACAGTGGTTGCGATTTCAAAAGCAAATTTATAAGGAAACTGTCTTAATTAAGCGAAATTTTACAATATATTAACCTAGATTAGTAAAAAAAATTATAAATTTGAATCCAAATTAATAAGTCACAAATTATAAACCATTATAGCACTTGCTAAAGTTGGAATTACTCAGTTATAAGTCGCCTAAAGTCACATGATCACCATGAATTTTGGTTGGTGATTGCTGAAAAATGTCTTCATTAATTTGCCTATTTGCAGTTCACTGATCACTTAACCAAAAAACTGAAGTATTATTTACAAATCATTGCAGGAATCTGTACAGCGCATTGCTGTAGATATATTATTAGCTGAGTTCTTCCAAGTCAATAGCTTTCCTCCATTATTTATATTAAGTACAGCTAGCAGAATAAACTACAAACAGTTCCAAATTTTTCTTGACTTTTGTCTCTTTTTTAAAGAATAAAAGAGTAGCAATTTGTACTTCACTCGCTGTACGTTTTCATTCTATTCATGTTTTATCTTGGCCTAAAATAAGGCAACAGATCAATTCCTTGCTATAGTCTACTACGAGTGAAGCTCTCGCAGAATCTCCATTAATTGATTGTTAGTAAGATTCTGAAATGATTAGCTCTGCTAAGAGAGAGTTGTCCCCCCCACCCCCTCACTTCCAGCCTTTCAATAAATGCACATCACCATCACGATTAATTACTTTAAAATATCGAAAAATAAAAAAATTATAGTGAGACACAACTTAGTCTTTTTTTGCTCGTTGAGGGCTTTGCCTATTAATTAAAAGATTTTGAATATGAATTTATCATAATTTTCTCAACAGTAAAAAAAACATAATAATAATTTAACTACCATACAAGTGGAATTATTTAAATTTTTAATTAGTGGATTTATGAAAAAATAATAAGAAAAAAAAAAAAGACTGAGCATCAACCATATATACCTCATATTTTAAAATTTGAATGGTAAAAAAGACTGAGCATCAACCATATATACCTCATATTTTAAAATTTGAATGGTAGATGTTACGTAGTTTAGTTGATAATGATCTTAGAAGTAGTTGTTAAGATTGAGCATCAAATCTCATATTTATATATTATATTTGTTCTTCTAAATATGATATTACTAAGATTTGGTGAGAGTTAGCTGGCTTAATTAATAAAATTTTTTAAATTCTTTTTTAAAATATTGAGATCAAATCCCGCCTATAATATATTTGTGCTTGCGCACTGAAGATTCCCAAAAAAATATATGTATTGCAATTAAAAGAATTGTGGTTAGAGGTTCTAAACTCCCTATTGAATTCTCATTATGAGGAATTTATATTTACTTTAAGTATCAATGATTTTAATTATTTTACTAAATATTTATTTTAAAAAGTAAGGTGTCACTCTTTACTATTCACTATTCATCACTAACTAGTAATAATAATAATAATAATAATAAATTTATAGTTAAATATGTGGGACATATGATATGAATGAAGTATCAAAATAATTAAAGCATATAATTTATACTGAAAAATCATCAAGATAAAAAACTAATAGGCTATTTAAAAGGACAATAGTAATATAATCTGTAATAAAGGCATATTTATGTGGAAAGTTTGTTGGGCCATGTAAAACATCAGCCTAATGATTACTATATTAGGAGGGCAGATGTATAAATCTGGCCTATTTGAGAAAACATAGAGGTAGGCCTAATTCCCTGATTTTCTTTTTATGGTATAAAATATTATTTCAGATACTAGTATATATATATATATATATATATATATATATTCATCACATTTTTTTTAAAGGCTACATTGTCCCACGTATGAATCTTCAAAATATCTCGAGTGCCACATAAGTTACATTAAATTCTTGTTTGTTCTTTCTAGGCATAAGCTATCTATCTATATATTATACGGAAGCTAAGTAATGGAGGTAGAGATCAACAATGAGCTCAGTAATTTACCTGTTTCCAATGCTGGAATGAAGCTTTATAATGATCTCTTCTTCCTCCTTGGATATGCTTCCTCTTTTGAGGTCAGATCTTAGGTAATTTATCCATCGCAGCCTACAGCTCTTCCCACACCTCAGCAGACCTCAATTGTTCAAGAGAGAAAGATTTAGATAGATAGAGAGATAAATAGTGAAAGATGCAGAGATGATAAGCAGTGAAGTAGTTTGCTAGGAACCTGCATTCTTAGGAAGCGACCTCCATGAACCTTCTCCGTTTTCTGCAATGTAGTTCACGAGTATCTCATCCTCTTCTACCGTCCACCTCCCCCTCTTCAGTCCCTTTTTATCGCAGCAGGGAGCCCTCACCATTTTCCTTCTAATACAGAGAGACGAAGCGAGTGTTTTCGAAGAAATAGAAGAGAGAAAGCAGAAGACAGAAAGCTGGAGAGTCTGGAGGTGGCGAGAACAAGTGAATCAGCTGTGGAGAAAGCGGGAGGGAAAATAAAAAGAGCAAGTGGGGCCCGCACGAGCGGTGGAGCTTGAACCACGTGTTCAATAACGTCAGAGAAGGCTAACGTGGCCTCACCACTGACGGAATGAGGCTACCCGCGCGTCTCGCCGTCTCGGTTCAACCACGTTGGCTGAAAAGCGGCTTGCTCATTTAGCCAGTTTGTATTGCGACCAAAACGTGGCATGCGGTAAATCCACTTGAATCTACGGTGACCAAACATTTCTTATAGCCATTTATACCTGCTTTGATGGTGTTGTAGTCTTCTTTAAATGGTCTTTGTCGTTGCATTGAAAGATATTTTGAACGAATCTTGAGGCATGTTTAATGAATTTTCTTACATGCGGTATTGATTCGTTTGACAATACCATTGTTCAGGATTTATGTTTGCTTTTCTGCATTCAATGCACGACTTACTAACTATAGGCTACTTAATTGAGTGTAGGTGAGCAGTCCATTAAAATTTTTGGGCTGCATGCTCTAGAAGCCACTGTAGGCCGAAAGAACATAAATGCGATCCAAAATAGTTTTTATTTTACTCCTTATGATTGATCGATCTGATTATATTTATTATTGTATGTGACAGAGTAGATCCCAATCATTTTAATTTTTTATAACATTTCGTTTGAGATAGTTTTCTTTCTACTTTCCAATAAAAATTTTTTACATAATTTTTTTTTACTAAAAAATTGCTTTAGAACGCAATAATAAAGTTAAGTCGATTATAATTGGACAAATAAAAGAAAGTAAATCAAACTTTTTTTTTTAAAATTTCATTGAAATTATTATAGGAAAATTTAGCCTCATCGAACAATATTAGCTATTTATAAAAAATTTGTATAAGAGTGATCTATCTCGAATGATTGAACGGTCATTAGTATAATGAAACTTTTGAGTATTTATAAAATAATGGGCATAAAAATAGATCTGGAGGATGCAGCTAAGACACAAATAACATCACAATGCAGTTTGGATGTAACAATGACTACGATGCAAATGAGATTGTGGCATAAGCTTAGAAGGAGAGATGACCACAACACAAGCAATGTTGTGACATATATTTGGATGTAATAATAACTATGAGGCAACTTGAATAGTGGCATTTTTTGAAGAGATTGAGTCTTGTTGGTTTTTGCATTATTGATTATTCATGAACTGTCCATTTGAAATGTTTCTCAATATTAAATCATCTCAAGATAATATAGACATAGAAACCCTCATCTCTATAATTTGGGGGGTAATTATCAGATAAGCAATAAACTCTTAAAAACTATTAGATAATACCACAAAAAATTTGGTATCATCAAATTATTGATGTCTTAATTATAACATATATGAAACATACTAAGGCTAATGGGGCCAAGAAATTCTATTAGTGCTAGTTTGAGGCCTCATCCTATTTGAATTAGAGACTAATGATAATGAGGACATACCCTAAGGGTTCTTAGATAACATGGAACCTTAACTAATTAATTATATATGGTTCAAGGTGAGGATCATAGTCCTATTAGGTCTTAATCATTAGGACAATTTATTATTGTACTATTTTGTTAAGGTATTGCATTTGTTAACTTGAAGTAACGAGACGTCTTGAAATAATATGCTAATATTAAGAGAAGCTTAGTCTTAAAAATATTAATGGTTACTTAATGTTATCTTTTTGCCCTTAAGTGTTGGCCCGTGTAAATTGGTGTGGGTTGCATGCTAGGTCGACCGGGATTTTCACTGGCCTAAGGACAATGTTAATTTCCTAATATATATATATATATATATATATACACACACACGACTTCTCATATATATTGATCAATTAATAAAATTATCTTTCTAAAAATATGAATATAATTTTATACTATATAACCAATCATTCTCATTACCCAAGCCTATAAAAGATTTATTATTTTTAATCTTCCACAAACTAATATTAGAATAAATAAATATGCACTTTTTGTGAAATAATTTATTTCAACCTTGTTTGGAATAGGTATTTATTATCCCAATTACAACTTTTCTGCCTTTTCTTTTACCAAAAATTACTAATAATTAATAATTTTCACACCTTTCTACCTTCACACACACACTCCTCAATTCTCTATGAATTATTACTCATTGGTTCATTGTGATTTGTGCACAACTTTTTTCATAGAACGTTTCACCATTAGTAACATTCTATTATTGATTCGTTATTTAATTCTTGTACCTGCATAATAAATATAATTTTATTATGAGCATATATCATTATTCATATAATAAATATCATCTCATTAAATTTTATCATGAATGCACATGCTGACCATATTATTTATTTTATCACTTATTAAATATCAAATTATAGCTCAATATTAGATCAAATTTAATCAGTGTATTTTATCATCTCATTTATCTCGTATATAATATAAAACTTGAGTGGAATAAAGTAATGCTTTTAAAACCGAACCGGATCGGCTGGTTCAACAGCGAATCGGTCTGACAGGCGGACCAGTTAGGCGGAAGAATAGGCCGGAAGTGAAACCGGTGAAAAATCGGTCAAGAACGGGAACCACCGAACAGGGAACTGCCGAACTGGGCAGTTTTTGAAGAACCTGCCGACGATTCTAAATAAGCCGAATCTCAGTCGTCCAAATATGATCAGACACGCGCAATGAAGATTGGGAAGTATTATGCGTAATGAAGACTGGGAAGTATTATGTCTCGACTACTCTATCTTCAATACACCATTCCCCATGTATTCGGATGTTCAATTATCACCTATTCGCTATTTCGATGACTCAAGCAAAAGCGGGAAGGACTCCTCTAAGGCTCCGACCATCCCGGCCGCCAGCACTCTCCTCTAACCATTCTATCCGCCGGCGCACTCCTCATACCATCCTTGCCGCACAGGTCTTAAAGATTTTAAACAACATTGGGTAAGTTCTTGAATAGATTATGATTTTGTTTGTAATAGTTTCACTACAGAAAATCATTCATTACCGGCAGAATTTTTCGGTGGCTTTCCGACAGTTAATTTTCTGGCGTCTTTCCGGCGGCTTTCCGACGGAAAAAAAATGAGACAACTTTTCCGATGAAATTTTCTGACAGTTTCTTTCCCATAGAAATTTCCAGCAACTTTTTCAGTTTTCCGGCAGAATTATTTTTAAAAATTTTATTTATTTTTTTTAATTACTAATTTTTGTAGTATTTAATTAATTATTAAGTTAATAATTTATTTTAATTAAAATTTAATTGTAATTCTTTATTTTAATTAATTAGTAATTAGTAATTTTTATTTTATATTAATTATTAATTATTAATTTTATAATTAAATTAGTTAGAATATTTAATTTTATTTAAAAACTTGATTTTGTGTCAAAGTATAGTTTAAATATAAAAAAATCACATTTAAAACGTATTTTACTGATGAGCAATTTGGTGAGGTGTTTGAAACTCTCCCCAATCCACCCGGTTCAAAATCCTTGGTGGGTGCAAGAGCAGGTTTGCGGGGGAGCGGCAGTGGGCGGGCTGTTGGGCGCACACTGGCGCGGGTTGCCGGGCGGGCGAAGGCTGCTGGGCTGGCTCAGGCAGGCGTGGGCTCAATTCCCCCGGAAAGCCACCAGAATTATTTTCCGCCAAAAAATGTCACCGAAAATTTTTTTCCTACGCGTGCTTTATCGGCGAAATTTTTGCTGCTAGAAAAGTGCATGAAAATGATCAATATATGCCGGAATATT